ATTACTCCCAACCTCAACAATATAAACTTCAGAATTGTAGGTTATTTCTGCAGAATTATATTTATCAATAAATATAGAAAGATCAAAAATATGTTCTGATTCAGTTTCCACCTTTCAGAGTACAGCAACCTTCAATAAAACCGGACCTACAGTAGACAGTATCCACCAATATATCGCAATTATAAACAATCTTACTGAAAGTATAGTTTTTTTCTGGACTCCAGGAAACTCCGGGATACCAGGAAATGAGGCAGCGGATAAAGCTGCTCATATGAATATCCCACCTCTTCAAATATAAGAACCGAGTAATATAAAATAATTGCTAAAAGACATAGTACGAAAAAATTGGGTGTCCATGTGGGATGAGATTCCACCGACTAATAAACTTGGAAACGTTAAAAAGTACGTAACAGTGGATAAGTGGTGAAAATGGAAAGAAGAGAAGAAGTGGTAGTGACAAAGATGAGAATTGGTCATACTAATCGAACTCATGTCATTAAATATATGATATAACTTCAGATATGATATTATATTTAAATAATTAGGTGTCTATCGACCGTTTATTCCAAAAATGATGAAGCAACCTTTTAGAAAATTAAATTAGTGAATAATTTGATGAATTTTTCCTTTGCGAAATCTCAATATCATTCCCTTACAATTAGTGTGAGAACTTTTGACCTATCCATGGAAGGCAATGAAAATCTCATAATTTCATTTTTGTAAACTTTTCAATGGAAAATAAAAGTTTAATAACTAATAGGCATACAATCCATAATCATTTATGATACACTTTGCCCCTTTATACTATAATAGTGTTTAATTTTATTTATGCAATTTATGTAAATATATTCAATCATAAAAATTATTTTCGGTCTGCAAGACACTAATATAGATAGATAGTTAATTTAGAAATTATTAACTATAATGAAAGTGTTTATTTATTTCTAGCCTTCGACAGTTGAAACATGTCTAATAAAAAAAACTGTTGGGTTATTTTCATGATGTACTGATAAATTCGTTGCAAAGCAGAAAGAGCTTTTGTTTCTTTTGGAATAATATTATTAAGCCACTGTAGTTTGGAATAAGCAGAATACAGTGGCTTAATAATATAATAATAATAATAATAATATTATTAAGCCACTGTAAGCAGAACGAACAGCAACTCGACTAGTGGCAAACGGATGAACTAAAGAAAAACAACTGTTGTTATCCGTTTGGAAGAACAGTTCATTTGTTTGAGATCAAGAATTGTTTTTTTTTAAACGTTTGGCATTTGTTACAACCCCAATAATCTTTAAATCAGTCGCCATTTTTGAAAACAGCGGTTCTGGAATGGCAGACAAGATTTATCTTACTTAGAATAAAATACACTTTTGTAATTTATTTCCAAACCTTCGACTGCGATAAGGTCACTTTTTGGGCCCTGTTTCGAGGCCTAAAAGTTATAACCTCGATACACGGCTAGAGTGGGGGAAAAAAAAACTTATGAATAGCATTATCATTTATACAAACTAGTTGATTAACATAAGAAATTCGGGAACGATAGTTCAGTACGTTGAAGGTGACAGGGGTTAAGGCGCTTATTGTGGGTTGGATCTTGCCCATTCTTCCAGAAGGTCCATTTTTGGCGAACACGGACAGTCAGGTAACTATAATGGATCCAGGAATTTAAGATTTAAATTACATGATGTCGAAAAGCTTAAATTGGCTTTGATGAAGAATAATGGAAGATATCTATCCAAGAAGAAGTCTATCCAAGTTAAAATATCGATAGTGATTTTTACTTTTACTTACCTATATATGGAATATATGGTAAGAGAAAGTATAGCGATCGTGAAAAATTTCGAATCTGAGTTTTCAACGGAAATACATGTCTCCTGTGTCCAAATAACCATGTTTTTTTTTTTTTTTAATTTATTAAGAAATCATTTATTTGCCTCATTTTCAAGAATTACACAACAAACAATTATTTTTAGAAATCAGCTAAAATGTCATTGTATGATTAATGTGGCAGAAATAGGCTTTTTAGACCTACCATGCACCGTTTCATATATATTTGTTTTAAATATATCATTATAATATAATTCGAAAATCGTTAGAACCGTACTGGAGAAAATAGTAAAATTGTGTAAATTCAGCGATATAAAGTGGCACTTCTGGTTATCAAATTTTGACGAAAAAGTTACTGTAACATCCAAAGTATGTAAAAACCTTAAATACACAATTTAAGTAGTGTACGACTTTTAATTTTTGACTGTTCACAGACCATTTTGCAGGACTTGGTATTTGGGGGGAGGGACCTTAAAACGTGTATTTCCGTTGATAACTCAGATTCGAAAATTTTCACGATCGTAGTACTTTCTCTTGCTATACATTACATATGTAGATAAGTGAATGTAAAAAACATGAAACAATGAAGAAAAAAAAAATCCATTCTGAGAGAGGGCTTCAGCCTGAAAAATATCGAAAACTGGTATCGACTGGATGAAATTGATTTTATAAATTGATATATATTTGTAGGATGATGGGGACGATTGTGTACGCTGCTCTGACAATTTTAATGGCGAACCTGGTCTTTGGTCTGGTTCTCTGGCTTCGAGTGCGGAAGCTCTATTCTTATCCTAATGTCTTGGGTTTTCCTGTTATCGGGAACCTCTACTACTTCTACAGGACACTATTGTTTTTCACCATTGATAGTAAGTATGGTAATGAGAGTTATAAAGACAATTCACACTGATTAGACTTTGTCGATTTTTTAAATAAAATCCTGTTAAGATGAAATAATCAGTACAAATTACACATTCCAGTCGATTGATTTAGGTTAGATAAAAATAAATAATTAATCTTTCTTATTCAGGAGGGATGAAGTACATAATTCCAGTAGCTGAAGAACATGGAAAAGATGGATTGTTCTTCCATTGGCTATTTGGTTCCAGTGTAGCAGCTATTATTACATGTCCGCATCTTGTCAAGGTAATACATTCGTGACGATAGAAATATAAAATGCACTTTTGCACGACCAAGACCGCCTAATTGTAGCAAGACCAAGACCAAGACTGGACCCTGTTAGACTTGAGCAAGAACAACTCTGACATGCCAGACTCTTACGTCTTGCAGTTAAGTCAAACTGGGACTATTTTGAGATATAGTACGGTGCTTAAAAATTTTAACATTGCCTTAAATTTAAACAGCTGTATATTTGAGTATTGCTTTTAAATAATATATTCCGTGGTGCAGACCATTTTTTTTTATCAAATTATTAACATCCGGCTGAAACTTTGTAAATAGCTTCATCTCATCGTAACCTACAGACATTGTATTTACGAAAATTCTCGGAATTTGGACGTTTTCAATCTGGGAGTCGTCAAACTTTGTCTATTTAATTAGGTACTAAAAACTCGTACATACACGTTTCCTTTCACTTTGATCGTAAGATAACTTGAGCATAAAGTCTAGAAAAAAGGTGGCCTTCATAAATATTGAGCCGTTTGACGTGACCTACAACCCCATATTGTCAAAATAACGAGGTTATATAGGCATAACGGCTCAATATTTTCAAAGGCCACTTTGTTCCTCGACTTTGTGCTCAAGTTATCTTATGGATAAAGTGGAAAGCAAATGGGTATTTACGAGTTTTTAGTACCTAATTAAACAGACAAAGTTTGACTTGAAATCGAAAAAGCCTCAATTCCGAAAATTTTTGTAAATAAAATATTTGTAGATTACCATGAGATGGAGCTATTTACAACGTTTCAGTCAGGCGTTAATCATTTGATAAAAAGGAGTCTGTACCACGGACTAATAACAAAAACTAAATATTTGCCAGGACCTAATCAAGATAAAAGAAAACACCACGTTTTTATGAATAATAATCAAAGAAAAATATTAACTAACACTAGATAATACTATTAAAATCATTGCATATAGTTACTACATGTAAAAAATTGTTCTACCAATCTATTTTTTTCATACAACTCTTTCGATTTTTCATTCAGGATTTAGTTAGATTTCCCCATTCTGAAAAATGATACTAATATCTCTATAGGGTTTAGTGGTAATATACTTACTGCTGGGTGCTACGGTCCTACAAGAACCTGAACCTCCTCAAGAGTCAGTCATTCCTGTCTCTAGTGTTGCCCAAAATCGGTCTTGGTTTTGTACTTTGCAAGACCAAGACCAAGGTCGCCTAACTATTGCAAGACCAAGACCAGGACTGATGAAAAAAAATCGATTTTTTAAATAAAATTAAAGCAAAATAGTTACTAATACTTGACAACCTTAGTTACTATATGTTAATAATTGGTATAACCAATATACTTTTAGATTTAACTCCTCTAATTTTTCATTTGGGCTTAGTTAGGGTTGACCTATCTAAAAAGTTACAGTAATATCTCTATTGTAATAAGCTAATAAGTAACTGCAAGAGTGTTGCGAGACTCTTGCACAAGACCAAGACTGAGTTTGCAAGACCAAGATTCGTCTCGGTCTCGCATTTGGGCAATACTACCTTTCTCTCGCTCACATCCTCCATCTTTTTACCACGAGAAACTCGAGGTCCTCTTCAACGCCATCCAACCATCGTATTCTTGGCCATCCTCTGTTTCGCTTCCCTCCAGTTTTCCATATATCAGGCGTCTTGGAATTCTATTCTTTGGAGTCCTTTCCTCCTGTCGGGACCATCTCAGGTGGGTTTTGTCTAAGGAGAATTGAACGTGATATTGCTGCTGCACTCGACGAATAATCTGTACTGGTTTCACATTTTCTGATTTGAGGAAATGTATGACTGCTCGCATTTCTTCCTGGGTGCAATATAAAAGATAGCAGTTATGGAACAATAAGTATGTAAAAGCTTTAAAATTTTGCATGTTAATGGATAAAAATATAACATGAATATTTGTTGAAACAATAACATAATAACAACCTGTAAAATAGATAAAACATTTGAATTAGTCTACCTTGCAGATATGTTCTGTATTAAAATTAATTACTAGAAACATAACCTTTTATAAAATATTTTTATAATTAGAAAATGATCTTTCTACATCAAAAGACATGATAGAGGTAAATTTATATTATAATAATTCGTAAATAACATATTAAATGTTAAATGTCAATATTCATTTTTTTTTTTTTTTTTTTTTTTGGCTGGAATTGCGAATAGCCTTTAGTCAGGGGTTTAGCTTATTTACACTCGTGAATATTTAAAACAAAACCCCGGCGCTGGATATTAAATTTTTTGAGGGTGTTAAACTGTCGTTGGGAATTCGGGAACCTAATGCTTTTTGTGACACTGAGTGACAAGAAATAATAAGAATATATGTCTGAAATGCGGGACTTAGTAAACCACTTTGAATGAATCGACTCACCTGGTTTGTTATTCTTCGATTGTGAATGCAGGCGGATTTACGGGGGGGAGGAGGCTTTCGGGCTGAAGCCCCCTCCCCAAAATGTTAAAATGTAACCACGTTTTATGGTAAAAAATATTTAAAAATTATGTCTTAAAGTATTATTGCTCGTTTAATTACATTTAATAGGACTTCAAGAATCACTTAAACACCATTTCATATAGCTAGTTAGTATCTTTCTGTTTTTTCAAAGTAATTATCGTTATATATATGAAAAAAAAAAGCTTCCGGCTTCCAGGCTGAAGCTCCCCCAAATTAAATCCTGGATCCGTTAGTGATTGTGAAGCATATAGGACAACTGAATAAAACGACTTTGCACTCATGTATAACAAAACGATTTATTTTGACAACTGTTATAAATTAATGACTATTAAAGCCATCTACTACAATGCAATTGCATAAAAATCCGGGCCTTGGCTATAACTTATAACAGAACAATCAGTGTTGCCATACATGTGATTCGGAGGGAAATACCAATTTCCCTTAACTACTTGGCTTGCCTTCCTAAATAGGTATATATATTAATTACTATGTAAAGAAACTTAATTATTTTTAATGGATTGTTACATACTTGTTTAAATTAATATTTTTTTTATTCAGAAATTATCATTTCACCCCAACCTGGCTGATAAGCCTCACGCTGCGTACATAGGATTTCAACTTTGCTTAGAAGGACCATTTTCTGCTCTATGTAAGTAACAGATAGATTTTGTTGAAATATGTATATGTTTGTAATATAAATGATATATTCATGTACATACTTTTGCGTAGTATCTTAATTTTAACTTCTGCAATTGCGCAATAGCAAATTTGATTTGACTATTTCTACAGATCATCTGCGAGCGGCAGCTGCGTGAACGAGTCGTTCAATCTTTCTTTTTTTGTTTTGTTTTATATAACTTCTACTTTTAATTTGTTTATTTTAGCATTAGTCTACATTGGCTTATTTTAGACAGTTTCATAGAGATTTAAATATCATTTCTGTAATTAAATATTTCAGTTTTGCAGGAGTACCCACTAGGGATTTCGTGGCGTAAGTTACGCTATCAAAATGATTAAGAAGCCAAATTTTGACGAGGTTTTTAATTGTTAAGATGGGCAAAATTCAACGAGTTAAGATTTTTCGGTATAAAAAGTAGAATTGTTTATAATCTGCAATTTTTTAAATTATACTTTCGCTTACAACACTGATTTTAAGAAGAAGATCAGAGCAATAAGTATTTTGAGAGGGGAGAGAGGTAATAGGAGTGCCCATCCCCCTAAGATTTTTCCAAACGAAACTAAAGCTCTTTCTGCTTTCCAACGAACCTATCAGTACATCATGAAAATACACAACAGTTTTTTATAAAACATGTTTCAACTGTTTAGTTAAGGGATGTAATTTTTAGCTCCCATTATTAATGAAGGCTAGAAATAAATAAGCATTAACATTAGAGTTACTACATTGCTAACTTAAGGTGTTGTTTTAAGTTGTATCTATCTATATTAGTGTCTTGCAGACCGAAAATAATTTTTATGATTGAAGATATTCACATAAATCAATTAAGTCGTATAAATAAAAAATGTTTGAACTACAGTTAAAAGACAGACTCATGATGACCAAGCAGCATAATTTCAAACTTCGAACAAAACTTCATAAAGAAATATGCCAAAACATTTATAACAAATTAGTTTGATAAAAGAGAAGTTCCTAAGTTCAGCTCTGAGCTCATCGAAAGCATCGGATCTTCTTTCCGCTGGGCGAAAGGATGTCATCAAGAAGTTGAAAATTTAGAAACTTGTCCAAAATCACAACCACCAGATTAATACAAGAAATTTAATAAAATATTATTAGAATAAAAAAACGTTTTAAGTGCAAAAAATATTTTTTAGTTTCAATTTAATTGAAGTAATTTTTAAGATTAAACATTAATTTAATATTAAAAATAAATAAAAAGGTTATCAATTTTAAGCTTGAACAATGCCAAACTGTATACATAAAACGTTTCATTCATTTCCAGACCAGTTATTAAACGTATACGGTCCATTTTAAAATGAATAAGACGAACAGGTCTTGCTTCGTGATTCGTTGCATTGTTCTATGAACCATTTTTTTTTTTCAACAGCTCTTGAGAACTGTTGTTATTTTTTCATGAACAGCTCATTTACGTTTTTTAAAAGTAGTAGAAACGCCCATCTCTAACTACAGACAGACAGACATCGAACCAAATTTGATCCTTTATGTCTGAAATGTAAAACGCGAGTGGAAATTTTCGATTCTGAGCACACAATCTTTTTTAACTTCTGGCACGAATCACCTTCGGTAACGAGAATGCAAAAAATGCTTAGTCGAGATTTTGTTTTGTTCAAATTGAACAAAATTATATTGATACCTTTTTCTCACAACTATTACGAAAGCATCTCCATTTCGTCTTCCCATCGAACTTCATTTCATGACCTTCATCACAATATTTCACCTTCCCAATTATCCCTGCATCTTGAAATTATTTGATTGCCTCTTCTTCTGAAGACGGCAATTCCCACAATGTAATTACATCCATTTCAATAACGTGCAATGAATAAACGCACAAGTAACAGCTCACACTAGATAAAAAGGAAGGTTACGTGACGTAACATAACATAAGATAAGAAGGTGACGTAAGATAAGATAAGAAGGAGGTTTAGCAGAGCCCACGTCGTTCACAAGTACCTTCAATTTATACAGTCCATACATATAATTAATAAATAGCAACTATACCATAATAAAATTACAATGTAAATTAATTAGTATTTACATTGAGTTGAGGATAAGCGAAGTGTATAAAAACAACAGAAAGTTTTTCTCAGAAGTGTTCAGCTTCACAAAAGGCGTATCCACTCTGTGAATCACAAATCTCAGTTCTCTAATATTCCCCTATAGTGTTTAAGTTCAATTTTGAAAAGAGTTGGTACAAAAATAGATCACCTTCTTTTCAAGTTGGAGAGGACTCACTACTTCCAGTTCTAGACACGGAATTTCTCCAGTGATATATTTACTTCAGAACTGAATACATCAATACAAGTAACATTACTTTAGTATATATGTACAATATTCTGGAGAAACTAAATATTAAAATGACTGAGCTCAATTATTATTATTAACAATTAAAGAATTAATGACCTGTCTTGTTACAGATTTATAATCAAGCATTATTGAAGTTATTTGAGATTATTGTAAAGAGTATTAGTTTATTATTGAATATTTAATAGTTGACCTTTGCATTATAAAGGAAGGTGATGGTCCGGGATGGTGGTCATAAATAGGCTGAATAGTGGCAAAACTATTTTATTAAAAGCCAACATTTCGACCCGACTTTGCAGCTCTTCTTCATAGAGATGTGTTCAGCTAGGAGTTCTAAGTGAAACTCCTAGCTGAATAACCTAGAACTTTCACTTAGACCTTCCACTTAGAACTTGAGTTCTAAGTGAAACTTCTAGCTGAACACACCTTCCTGAAGAAGGGCTGCAAAGTTGGGTCGAAACATTGGCTTTTAATAAAATAGTTTTGCCACTATTCAGCCTATTCATGACCACCACCACCCCGGACAATCTCCTTCCTTTATTAGTTAATTAAATTGTATGAATTATAAAGCGTTTAGTAGTTTATGTTATTTAATTTTATAAATTTCATTCATATCCATATTTAATTGTTTAACGGTTCTATTTTCTTGAATAATGTAATGTTCTCCAATTAACATTTAACTAGTAATCATTTCATATAAATTATTTGTTGCAGCTTCTTCGCCTGCCAAATTATTGTAGTAAAGTTTGAATATAAGCTCTCCCCTTCAAAGAATATCATACCCATCGAAAAGCCGGTTTATAATTATAGATGTTTTTAATTCTTCTTTCTTTCTTCTTTCAAAGTGACTACAGCTTGATGTAGGCCTTGGTCTCCTCAATGACACTTTGTCAGGTGGCGCATTCTTGTGCAGATCCTTTCCTATTCTGAACTTCTAAAAAGGTTTGAGCATCCTTCATAACTATGTCTTCCACTTCAGCTTTGGCCTTCCTCTTCCTCTTAACAGTAATTTCCAAACAGTAGTTTTTGTGAATTAATTCCTCAATCGTTGTTGCTATGTGGCCTGCCCATCTCAGTCGACCACACTTTATAATAGGACCGTCATTTACTTTACCATAGTATATTAAAAATATATTCCTCTGTTATAGCGCCTCCTCCGCTGGTTACCTTTTTCCTAGTGGTTCCGAAAATATGGCACAAAACTTCTCTTTTGAAGATAAGAAACTCTTTCTCTTCTGAATTTGTCAGAGCCTCTGAAGCACTGGTCGTATAAGTGTTTTCTAAAGTTGGCACTTAGTCTCATGAGAAAAGGCCTTACTGTTAGGGTGCTTTTTGAGTTCAAAATAGCAGAAATTGTCCTTCATTATTTGTTCACCGGTCTCAAAAGATATTGTGTTCCAACAACCAACTATTGAGTCCAAATATGTACATCTGTCCACATTTTCAAATGCTTCTCCACATTTTCATGATGCTTCTCAAATGAAATTATCTATTATTATAACAAAATTATAAGTTACAAAAACTAGGTTTTGAATAAACAATAATTAAATTTAAACCTTTCCTATAATGATTTTTCTACATTAGCAGACTTTATTTTTTAAAAATCTTTCAGTATTCTTTCGCCCATAATTATTTGTGTTACAGGTTCTGATAATGTGTGGAAACAGAGGAGAAAGGATTTCAGTAATTATTTGAAGAAATCTCGTGTAGAAAATGATTATTATAAAACTTTTATTAAATGTTCTGACAGAATGGTCAATATTATGTTAGAATCATCTTCTGGTGTGGATTCAAACGCTCTATGCGCAGCTGTAGCACACGATGTTGCTTTGAGTACGTTATTATTTAGAGCATAATAATCTAATATAGGTTAGTCAGTCTGTCACAACATTATAATAAATTTGTTAATTATATTTCTCTCTTTCAGAATCAATGTTTAGTATTGAAACAAGTTTAGTCTATCATCCCGAGATTGTAGCTTTATTGACCAGGTACCATATAAAAAATTATATTTCATACATGATATTTTGATAGTTTGTAATCAGGAGTATTTTCCTAAAATGAAATACAGGTAGTTCCTTAGTAATTATCTGATGAAGATCTCGCATCGATAGGACGTAAAGCTCTGTCTCCCTTTGCAACTCTGCTCTCAGTGCCTCATCATAGGATATACAGGCAAACAAGATATGTTCGGCAATCTGTGGTACCCTACAACTTAGAATCGATGTTCTTACCATATTCAACGAGATTTACTCTCTAATTTCTTTCTTTCTGTAGTTTACCTTCTCCAAAATATATACTCTCTCTCTCTCTTTCTGATTTTACTCTCTCTGTCTGATTTTCAAATACCTCTGAATCTATTTTCCCTTTGTAAATAAGAGGATTGGATGGATAAGTTTAGATAGGACAGATAAGGTATATAGGATAAGACTGCCAAGAATGATAGGAGGACAACCCCTCCAACAGCCAGAGCTCAGCAATCTGTGGAGGCATTTCAAAGACCTCACACTCCCCAGAACAACTCGGGAAGGTACAAGGGAGGCATGTAGGAAACAATGGCCAACCAAGTTAATTGAAAACCAAGTTCTATAAAAGGACTAAAAATGTGTTGTGGGAGAGAATATGGAGTTTGTATTAGAGTAAGATAAGGAGGTTAAACTGCCAATAGGGAGACAAATTTACATCAGGAAACAAATTAATAGTAATCCTAAAGAAAAAAAAAATTATGTATTGTTAAGTTACGTTTCCTTTGAAAAGTAAAAAAAAAAACAGTTTCTGAATCAAATTATATTTATTTTACGCAATAATTATTTCTCAGGTTGGGTTGAGACAACAAACACACATTCCTCGAATATATAATATAAAATCACACATTAGTTGTATATAACATTTTATGAATGCCCATTCTTTTGTCATGGTCTACTCTTGGCGCGCTTTTTAACTCACTATTTATATTTCACTGACCTTGTTCTTCAGTGAACCTTCTTCTGTATTGTTGTATTCCACATCTACAATCTTCTATTTTCCCTTATTAAGACTAACTACTTGTTAATCACATTTTCTTTCTCCGTGAGTCTTGATGATCTTTTCTATCCCACTTGTTACCTTCTGCCTTAACATAAGGCACTTGCTTCCCCTTCCATCTGTATATATGGCGAGAAAAAAAAGACAGTTGATCTCCATTCATTTGTAGGCTTGTAAATTCTGTAGTGAGGAGGGAGATTATTAACTAATCTTAATCGATAAATCAGGTGAATTGTTATCTACATATCTATAATAAACTTATAAGGGGGAGGGTTACGGGGATGTGGATCTCAGATTCCAATGATTTTTTTTTTGTGGTACTAGGTCAAAAATTATTAATCCATATACGATGGTTCTTCAATAAACTGCCAAGGTCATGATGGCTAAACATGTAAAGTGGAAAATTAACCATTGTCGAGTCTAACGAGGCTGGTTTAAATCTGGCCTGGGAGAGATAAAATTTAATTTGTGGCGGACTCATGGAATGAATCTCAACCTGCCTACTCTACTTAGAATAGATTTGGTTATATCTCTAGAACAATCCTCTTACCTTCTCCCCGTATGCCTGAAATGGCATACAAAATGAACTATTTATTGTTCCTAGACTTGTATTTTTCCTTTCTTCAATTTATGGATAATGGTGATTTCAACATTAACATATTGGATGGATTAGGCAATTTTCACTTGATGCTAGGAATAAGTCTCTGCAAATCAGTACATTCCAAAGGAAAAACACTACGCTTTACACGTTGCTTTTTTAATCACTAACGAATCCAGGATTTAATTTTGGGGAGCTTCAGCCCGAAAACATTATTCTTCATTGTCCCTATACAATGAATTATTACTTCAGTAAAAAAGAAAGAAACTAACTACCTATATGATGTTGTGTTTAAATGATTATTGAAGTTTCATAATAATAATAATAATAATAAAAGGCTTAGCAAACCTGAAGGTTCGATGCCGACACCACCAATCGCTTATTACACACCTCCCTCTACTGTTCGTCGTCCAAATCCAGTCCCTTCAGATCGGCTTTAATGCAATCTTCCCACCTTCGCTTCGGTCTACCCCTTGGACGCTTACCATTCAGCACAGCAAAAATTAACCTTTTAGGAATTCTCTCATTACTAAGCCCAACAACTTTACAAGCCCATTTGATTCGCCGTGATGAAATTACCTCAATTATATTACCTGGATACAGTTCACGCAATTCGGCGTTGTGTAACCGTCTGAACTCTCCGGTTAACTCATCCTTCTTCGGTCTGAATATTCTACGCAATTCTTTATTTTCAAAAACCTTAAGACGCTGGTCATCCCTTAATGTAAGCGGCCAAGTTTTGCATCCATAAAGGACTGTAGGCAAGATAATTGTTTGATATATTCTAATTTTTAAGTTCCGGGACAAGAAGCGCGAACTAAGTAGTTTTGTCTCAGAAAAATAACAAGCATTTCCCGCCTTCAGTCTAACCTTAATCTCTTCTACGATTTCGTTTTTTCTAGTTATCGTAGAACCTAGATACCTAAATTTATCTACCTGTTCAAACATATTACCATCTATATCTATATCACCAGTAGTATCGCCATTTTTGCAGCTAACCATATATTTTGTTTTATCCACGTTTATTTCGAGTCCTATTTCTTTACTGGCTTTCATTAACGTTGTCGTATTTAGTTTTATAGTTTCAACGTCTTCGCTTAACAGTACCAGATCATCAGCATAGCCCAGCATGGATGTTGTCCTGCCCAGATCCAACCCTTTCTCGGTACGCATTACCTCCCTAATAGCATGTTCTAATGTCAAATTGAACAGGACAGGCGAAAGGGAATCCCCCTGTTTTAAACCCGAACGAACCTCAAATTTTTCGGACAGATTACCTTAGATACAGATTCGGACAGGGGACCTCCAGACTTGCTGGAGGGTGTGATGTAGGATTGAACGTCCTACTCACATATCTTTAGTTCACCAAACACCACAAATAGTCATGGATCTCCCTATTGAAGTTTCATTTAATAAAATTACCTTAGCAATAATATCTTTAGAGATAAGTTTTTAATATTTATTTCATAAGACATAGTTATATCTTATCATTTTGAGAGGAGGGCTTCAGCAAGAAAGCTCCACTCCTAGATCAGCCTGTGCTTCTAATCAACTTGAACAACAGAATCCTTTTCTGCAGTTGGACAGGTTTCACAATTTGAGCAACAATGTATATTAGTAAGTCCAGGACGATGAATATGGCATTGTAGGAGATGGGTTGGCAGATTTACTGGTTTCTGGTCCTTCGAATTGAAGAAAACACCTTTCATTACAATTTTTTTTACACTTTTTGTATACACTTGATGTAAATGGTTCTTGAATAAATTTTTTATTTCAGTTTCTCGACTTTCCCACTCAGGTATTAACTATATCATAGGTTTAGTTTTACTTCTAGAGCAACTCCCCCATATGCCAGAAATCGTAAGATAGGGGTATCTATAAAAAAATAAATAAAAGGTTCTTCCATAAACTGTATTTTGATTTTGGCCGTCTAGTTGTGAACAGTGATATCCCCTCTCCCACCAAACCTTGGCAGAAAAACTGAAAATAGTGCAAAATTATAACACTTTAGTTGAGGTTTTAAGTTCGATTCTTTCTACCGCTGTTAATGCACCTGCATGTAATAATGTACCTGTTCCATACATTTCTACTCTTTCCTCTCCAGTGTTACTCTCTTCCAGACTGCTACTTCTCAGGTCTTCTTCATCTTGTTCCAATTTGTTGGTTGGCATCCTCTCTTCCTTACATCCTTTCCTGGAAACCAATCCATAAACTTCCTGGTCCAGATCATGACATTCCTCTTGATGACATGCTTGATCCAGGTCCATTTCCTTATGTGAACTTTTTCCTCAATATCTGGGAGGTCAATTATTGCTTTAATCCATTTATTTCATTTTCTATCTCTTCTTAATGTTTCGAGAAGGTATCGCTCCATTCCTCTGACTGTTACTGTAAATTTGTGGCAAGTTTTTTCGTCTATTATTCATGTTTTGCAACCGTAGGAGATGACAGGAAATACTGCAGTTGTTCAAAATTTTCTCTTAACATCTAAGCTCACAGAGGATCTATGAATATCCTTAAACGTGAAGAGCACGCCATCTCTTGGTACATCACGTCATGTTTATTTCTTCAATTTGTCCTTTAATAGAAATAAGGTACCCGAGATATAGAAATGTTTCTAATTAAGACTATAATAACTGCTGGAATAAAAAACAACAAACAACAATAGATTTTTTTCAGGATTAAGGAGGTGGCATCAATTCTTACCCTCAACTCTCCTATAATCAGTCCATTATTTCGCATACTGCAACCATTAGCAGATATAATGTTTGGAAAATTAGTGGAATTGCGGAAATTGGTAAATAGTTGTTTATTGTACTACAAATTTTGAATTTTTATGCCATTACATTAATAGTTCCAACCAATATAGATATAGAAATATTCTTACCCCAAGCCCTTTCATTCTGTTAACCAAACCATCCCTTCTTCTCCCATGACCAATATCCTTTTAACCTGCCATGTCAACGCTCAGTCACTCCTAGCTCATTTTGATGAATTTTATTCACCCCATCATCCCCCCTTCTCTTTGCAGTCATTTATCGCCCTCCCAGAATTCCCTTTGATGAATCATTTGAGACTTTCCTTAACAACACGATCCCTTCCTATTCTAATATTATCCTCTCTGGAGACTTCAATACCAATTTAATGATACCATCTTCTGACCATTCCTACCTGACTGGCCCCCTCCAATCCCTCAGCCTTTATATAGTACCCTACAACCCTACCCATTATACTCAGTTCTCAGAGTCCTGGCTTGATCTGTTTATCTCGGACTCCCTGGATAAACTCACACACTGTCAATACGATCTGTATGCCGACGACGTTCAGATTTATCTCTCCTTCAATCTGACCGAATCCTCTTACGCCATCCAAAAATTACAGGAAGATATAAACGCAATATGTGCCTGGGCAAACCACAACAGGATTATTAGTCTAAATGCCAAGAAGTTGAAAGCCATCCTGATCGGATCTCCCTCACTCCTCAAATCCTTACAGACACTCCCCAATCTTTTCCTGAACAACTCACCTATCTAATTCCATACTTCCGTAAAAAACCTTGGTGTTACATTTGATCAAACCCTCTCCTGGAAACCACACATCTCCCAAATTTCCCGTCATACTACCTCTACCCTGAAACACTTTAACCGTCTCCGCTATCTCCTTCCATATAAATCTCGTCAACTCCTGGTTTCCTCCCTTGTGTTCTCCCACTTCGACTACGGCTGTCTGGTGTACGACGGACTCTCTGGAGAATTTGAGGCCAAACTTAAATGCCTAATGAACTTTGCAATACGTTTTGTTTTCGGAATCTCAAGAGATGCGCATATAACCCAGTTTACACCAAGTTGAAGTGGCTCTATCCATCCAACCGCCATCTGTACTTCCTTGATACTTTTCTATACCAAGTCATCAGAACTCAGCGGCCTTCATATATTTTTCACAACCTACAATTCAAATATTCCATTCAATCCCGTCTCACTAGATCTCGTACCTCCGACCTCTATCCACCTCCCCACCGAACTGCAGCGTTTGACAAATCCTTTATAATTCAAGCCGTCTCCTTCTGAAATACCATCCCTCCCGATATCCGACATGTACAATCAGTTTCCTCATTTAAATCTCTCCTTTTTAAGCACCTACTCCTTTTCCAACCCGATTGATCATGAAATGTAGATAAGAGAACTTTTAATAGTTTCCCCAGAAATGATTTTTAGCGTTACTGTTTTACATTCTCTTTTATTCTTTTCCAATATTTTAAACTTAATAAGAATCGTAAATAATTAATTTTATGTATGTCCACACTGACATTTATTCTGTATCTATAATTTTTCCTAAAGGGACAACAGTCCCAGGATAATAAAAAAAAAAATTTTCATTTCATTACATTGATAAAACTTGTATAATAATTTCGTTTCATGCCTTTTAGATTTTGGGAGAGATAGATAATCAGCTGAAATCGAACCAGCAACCACTTCAAGGTAAGAACAGTCCTTTTAAAATGATGATTACAGTATTGAGAATTTCAATAATTTTTGTTTGTAAAATATAATACATAGCTTTATTCCAAAGATTGAAACTTTCATGTTCCATTTAACATTTTATGTAAAACGTTTTAGGGAAACATTCCATTTTAACTTTTTAGGTGAAAAATTCTTAAAGTAAAAGTTCTAAGGAACTTCTTTGTAATAAAGTTCTAGATTTATGGTAAAAGTTTAACTTTTATTTATTCAAGTTCTTAAAAAAAGTTCTCTTTAATGAATGTTACTGTTCTTTTATAATTACTCTCTAGTGAGTTTATTTATTTTAAATTTACGGATTTCATTCATATAAATGTCTGTTATAACGTTATTGGACACTTAATTTTTTAAATATCATCTTTTTACAGAATCTATGAGTATTTGATAGTTGAAAAGAGGTACAGTAAAAATAATGTATTCAACTCTTTACTTATTTAATAATATATTATATTTTACTTTATTTTATAAGCTTTAAACAAACTAATTGTACAATTAAGTAAACAAATAGTTTTTCTTTTCTGTTTTTAATAAAGAAGAACTGCCTTTATCAATAAACATGATATTAAGGATTAGAAGAGATAATGAAAGTGAAAAAAGAATGTTTAAACAGCTCCACGAAGTGTTCCTAACAGTACGTATTAAAATTTGTATTTTATTAATACTTAAAGAAATAAAATATTGTTTGTATTCACTTTATCTGTTAATATTATGATTAATGATCAGATGAAATAGAATAATAGATAAATTAAAAATGACCTGCACTGTCTTTTTCTTTTCGTAATTATAGTTTAAATTTTTTCTCATTTTATGAGTGGTATATCACCTGCACCACGTAATTGTATTTTCATAGAGATGATTGTATTTCTAAAACTGCTCGATTTATTACATTCAAAATTAGAGAAAGCTGGAAATTATTTTTAAAAAATGATGGTGCATCAATTTTAATCTCGATCTTTTTGTTATTTCTAATTTTTCTTACAGTATCTCTTTCTTTTTAATGGCTGTGTAAGCGTCATGGACATAAGCAGAACAACAGAACCAAGTACCATAAAAATATCAGTTTTCATAACTCAACTTGAGTTATCAAATAGAATAGATCTCTGACTTTATTAAGTAATCAGAAACTCCCCACTGAAAAGATCAGTCGACAGAGATGTAGAGAGGTAAAAGAACAAACCAGATTAGTTGTAGTAATCTTAAAGGTAGGGATAGACCGAGCATGTACATGACCAGCAGCTGCAAAAGTTACAGGCTCCTATTAGTATCCTGAGATTAAGTTTTGCCATAATTCATCATTTGCGAATGAATTATTTCTTCCTCCTCGGGTAAATATTTTGTTATTTATAGAATCTGATTACATATTCAAAATTGTAGGACTCTGCCTCATCTTCAGGAATATTCTACAATTAATCATCATGATTATGTACACATATAATAAACTATCTTAACACTATCACGTCATATACACCAAATTAGTTACCACGATGTGGATGGTAATGTCCCAATTATATCCAAATGTATATGCGCAAAACGGGAAAAAGGCAGAAAAACAATGTTGGAAAAGAATGGTTAGAGGGGAGTTGATGAAGCAGAGTAGTTGCCTTTGAATTCAAAAGGCATTGGCAAACCAGGCAGTAGCCTTCTGGTTGGATATAAAAAGTTGTTGATGTATTGTAAATCTATTATTGATAATATATTTATTATGAAGATTTGTTAATGTATGTTGTTGTATTAGATCATTGATAATATCATTATTAACTTTTTTCCTTGTGTCAGTAAATATTTGTTATATAAGTAAAAATCCATAATGTGTCATGTTGTTATATTATTGACATTTTTTTGCAATTGTTCTATTCAGGAACATTCTTATCATCCTTACATTGTTACACTGAACTGTATTAACAAGGGTTTGTCTTAATCCTTTTCATTATTTATGTTTATTTTTATAATCTCTTCTCCATTTTCTATCTATTGTTTATTTATTTCTATTTGTTTTATTTTATAATTTTTTTTTATATTTTGTTGCAAATGAAAATGTATGTATTATTGTAATTTATATTAATGGCTGTATTTGGTTTATAATTTTAAATTTTTTTATTATATCTGTGTTATGGTCATTTAAATTGTTTATGTCTGTTTAATAATTAATTTTCTATTCTATATTTTTTGTTCTGTGTAAAGCTTCTTTGTATGTTTCATATTTATATTTCAAATTTCTGAATTCTTTAAATTAAAATTGTCATTTAGTATTATGATGTGTTGGGCTGGGGTTGTGGTATTTATATTTTTGCTATTGTTCCAATTTATTTTATGTTGATCCATTCTATTTATTTTTTTAGATGTTTCTCCTCTATAAGTCTTATTACAATTTTTGTAATTTACCTCGTTTTAAAAGAATCCAATCTATAAAAAATGGTTTTCAAACTCCTGGTTTCAATAAAAATATGTAGACTATTTTTTCAGGGTCTTAACTAGTTGAACCACCATGGATCCTAATTGCTTACTTATAATAATTTTACTGTTTTAAATTAAATTAGATTAATTAATGGTTATTATTTATTTATATATTTTTTTCAGTCTGGGCACACTGTTGGTACTAAATTAGCAAACGTAATAAGTTTATTAGGAGTCCTACCTGATATTCAAGAAAGAGCTTGGCAAGAGCAAGATGAAATATTTGGCAATGATATCAGAGATCCAACCATTGCAGATTTAAATCAGATGAAGTTTCTTGACAGGTAGAATATAATATTTTTAATAAAAAAAATTGATTAAATTATAGCTCAAGTTTAAGATTATACATATTTTTATAAGCCTATTCTCATCAATCAGGAGCTGTAAATGGGTAAAAAAATATATAAAAAGTGGCACTTCCAGTTAGCCAAGTTTAAGGAAAAGGTCGCTGCCACATCTAAGGCACGTACCTATCTTAAATACGTAATATCAGTTTCTTAGGACTTTTCGTTTTCAAGTTAGAGTGTTCACATACACACAGACCATTTTTTGGGACTTGGTAATTTGGACTCAGGGGACCTCACAACGTGTATTTCCATTGAAAACTCAGATTCAAAAATTTTCTCGATCGCAATACTTACCCTTACTATATATTACACATATACGTAAGTGAAAGTATAAAAAATAAAATTGAATCTCGTATTGTTTCCGAAAGGGAGTACTTTAAGAAAGTACTTCCCCACCGTTCAATCACAGTTATAAACAATATGGTAAGATTTGTGGCATTTTATGGCGAAGGAATTTGATATTGATGTGGTTGTTGATGGTTAGATATATTAAGATGGATAGCATTTTGAGGTTGCTGTTACGGCAGAGCTTCACATTTATTGGTTGGGTTCTTATCTCTAAGTAGTTGAGAGAATGAAACACTACAGCTCACTATTTTAGCATGTTATCTTCTTGATCCTGGTAGTTTCATTAAGAATTCGGGTTTCTGGTATCTGGATTCGAGAATATTGTATATTTGGGAACCTTTGTTGCTAGACGGATGTAAAAAGAATCAAAAATTTTGAGGAAAATAGTATAGATCTGTGATATCTTGGGAAATTCCCATTATATAGGAAGAATTAAAAATATCTATTTTTAATAAATAAAAAAATGTTAAAAAAAAAGTTATGGATTATATACTTTAATTTATAGGCTTCTATACTCTTAGTATATGAGAACTATAAATCGAGGCTCTTATGCTGTGCCAAACTAGTAAATACTAATTGAGTTGAATAATGATAGGTTCAGGGATAACTGTGTCATTACATAACAGTTTAATTAGAAGGATATTTTACATTGGGACTAGCTAACACTTATTCTATTTTGTTACTTTAATAGTCGTGGAAAAATATGAAGCTTCTGTCAGTGAGAAACACAAATGAAAATAAAAATTTATAAAAAAAATTCCCAGCCGCCTACAGTCAACTGTTCCTTCGTTATTGATTATTCTCATGATCGTTATCATTATTGATAGTTCTCAATGAGTTACACTAGTTTAAAGCATATTTTTAAAAATATTCTTACAAATATTTGCTTATTTTATTTAAGGTTCCTAAAAGAATGCTACAGATTTCTTGGTCCTCCATTTCTTGCAAAAATGGCTACTGCTGACATAAATGTAGGTATGTGGATTTTCATAATATTTTTTTTAAATTACAAGTTTAGTTCAATTATGGTCTTATCATACATCCATTAACATTTACTAGAAACTAATATAAACTGGCAGTCAAAAAAGTTGACACACCTTGATTTTTAAATAAAACTGCTGATTAAAGAGATATTTTTGAGCCTGAAGTAATAAAAGGTATATAGCATTGGGAATCACAGTGCATTAATCCATTCCAGAAAATTTTCTCTTGTTTTAAGGATAAATTAAGATAAAGGTAGACTTCATATCAGTTTGGTTTTGGATGCCTAGGAAGTGTTGATGGATCATTGTGTTGATGTATTGACAACCGAAGCCAGCGATACATGGCCAGAGTCCATGGGCTGAATGAAACAACAGTTTGGCTGACATTCCAGAGGTGTCAGGAGACAGGAAATAAAGATCGAAGAATCAAAGATAATTAAATAAAAATAATTATGACTTCAGGTCCTGGTGCCTGTGGGCTTTTAACTCTGTCATTAATCCCCGAGCCTTACTCCCTGACCTAGGGAAACTATCAGGAAAATATATAGCTTGAAAATCTATCCAGCTTTTTATTCAAAAAATTGTTACTTATCTTTTAACAAATCGATTAAATACATTTTATTTGATCGCAGCTCTGTATTTTTAGTTCAGATTGTTTCAAAACACCCATGGGACCTCACCAAATAATATAATATTTCTAACTCAAAAATCGAACAAGCTGTTCACTCAAAACAGTATTACAAAGCTTTTTGCAAATTGATTAAACACATTTTATTTAATAATGAGTCAGTATTTTTTAGCTCAAATTGTTTCAAAACACTCAGGGGATCTCAACTAATAATTTGAGCCATCCAACTTAAAAATCGGTCCATCTATTTCCTCAAAAAACATAGTTTTTAGTGGACGACCCAAACCCTCTTGTCACTTTGTTGGGTAACAAGGATGTGCATGGCTTAGAATAAAGAAAATTTAAATTCTTATAGATTCGGCTCTTAATAATGACATTTTCATTTTCAGATGGAATAACAATACCACGTGGTACTCTTGTAATTTATCTGTTAAGATTTATAAAATTGCATCCAAAATACTGGAGAAATCCAAACATTTTTGACCCAGATCGCTTTCTCGATGAAGATGATTATTTAAAATGTAGCTATACACCATTTGGAATCGGTGTTAGAAGCTGCCCAGGTAAATATTTTAATTTATTGAATCTTTCATGTCTAAAATCCAACATACAATGAACATTGTAATTTATTTTTGGTTTATCTATACTTTTAAAATAAGAAGAACAGTTCATAGAAAGCCTTAATACTGCATGTTCTTATAATTTCATATGGATAGAACTAGAGATAGATTAGGTAGGTACGAGAAAGGAATATAGCGTAGAAAGTAGACAGGAGGCTCACGTCTATTCCCCGGGGGGAAGAGAAAGGATAGGGTAACTTTAGCAGCTATACTATAATACAGACTGATCACCCCAACTATTCTTCTCTTCAAAATAAATAATTGTATTTATTTTTACATTCGCCTACGTTTTGGCCCGAAGTTTAGGCCTTCATCAGTGCTAAGAAAAGTACCAGATAACAATAGGTATAAGAAACTATAAACATGGAATAATAAACAATTAAAACTAGAAAAGGTGAAAGGTATAGATTAAAAATTTAAATAGGCTTAACGTAAAATGAAGGAATAGAGTGAACATTAAAGTAAAATAAAGTAGGTAGAATAATAACAGTAACAGAGAACTAAGAAATAAATAATAATAAAGGTAACAAAGCACGAACCAATGAAATAAGCATAATAAAAAATAAGGTATCATAAGAAATGAAAATGGTAATCTTAGAATAAAGTGTAAAACAGAGAAAAAAAATATGAAATTATATAAGGAAATAATAGATACATATAGAAAATTAAGATATTTTAAAATCTATCAAAAATACTGACTATGTATAAAAGAATAAAAAGTTAAAATAGTGTAAAAAAAATAGGTATGAGCAAATGTATTAATATATAGAAAATAGAGTGCCGGGAAGGAGGAAGAAAAGGAGAAAACTAAGATAAGAAAAATAAACAATTTTATATTATGGATTTATATTTTTGTTTTATTTAAACTGTATTCTCACCTCGATCTTCCTCCCTCTGTTGTTTAACATCGATTGCACATTGAGCTCTTTAGGGATGTATGCCCCTGTAGGAATTAACTAAATACATTAATGGGATATAGCATTGTTGATGTTTATAATTTCCAATGATCTATCTAATTAAAATCTAATCTCATTTAAGTATTAGGGCTTATATATTCCTTGAAGAACACCATATATAAGAACGTTGAGTGCCCTTGAAAATGACTACTTTCATAGTTAAAAAACAATGAGATTTATTGACAATACAATTCTATAAAAAATTGAAGTACTTCAAAATTTCTACATCAATGATTAAATGCATCTTTTTGCCAACTTCACTGGTTATGATGAAAAATAGGAATAATAAGATTTCAAGAATTTTTAAACCTCTTAGTCATAGACGTTTGAAGTCTATTTCCTCCTTGTATATTTGTCTACTTTTGTTTTTGCCGTACTGGAAACTGTAAATGAAATAATTAATAATAATAATAATCTAGAAAAGGTCTTTCAGAGTACACTTAGTGTCCCAGGAATAATCATCCATTGCCATTTAACTTTTTTGATTTAATTAATCCAACCCATAACCCAAATTTTTTGTTTAATTTTTTTTAAGAAGAAGAAAAATAAATTTTACTCTGGGACATTTACTCCCCTAAGAATAATTATAATGAACAAAAATATGAAAATATAAAAAAACCTCTGACAAGTAAGGTCAGTATAGCTTCCTCACCGTCTTCATTGGCTTAAATATATCTATATTACAAGGTATACAATTTTTTGTATGAGAATAAAATCCCTGGGAGAAGCCGATTCGAAAATACAGTTACCCTTCAACATTCGCTGGTTTGATATCCACGAATTTCGTTTATCAGTTAATATTAAAACGCGAAAGTGTGCCGTATTTGAAGATTCTTAATAGAAAAAAAAATACCAATGCATACTGAACATGCATATCACTACTCTTAGTGCAAAAGGTAGTGTGTAAAAATTAATTGTTTTACAAGAGAGCATAAAAACTTATGCTTAATGTAAAAATATGTAAAAAAATAATTATTTCTTTATGCTTTATTAGTATAATTTCATATTTTATTGTCCTCTGCTATTTTCCATAGTAGCAGACTACTTATATCAGTTGCATACTACAAAATGTCACCTTTACCACAAATAGAATAAAAGTTAAAAATTTTTACATACGACCTTTTGCACTAATACTAGTAATATATATACTTAATAGGTATGTTTTCACTCTTAAAATGGATGGAACTAGAAAATCCATAAGAAAAATTCAATTTGTTATTTGTTCGGTGTTAACGAGACCAATACTTTTATTCAGTGAGAACAAAACTAATTAAGCTGGAATATAAAAATATGACTGAAGTTCACACAACTTCAATATTTAAGAAGGAAATCAAGACCAAGACAAACGCGTCCTTAAGCAGAAGTGCTGGTTAGAATTTAATAAAATTGATATGGGACCATCTAGACACCAACCCGCACAATCCGCAAATTTCATGAAAATCCGATAAATGGTAGTAGGCGATATGCCCGTTATATCGATTTGACTACAGACAGACAGACACTGAACCAAATTTGATGTCTGAAATTTAAAACATGAGTGGAAATGTTTCAATTCTGTGTACAAATTTTTTTTTTAACCTCTCGCATGAATACAATGTTTCCTTACCTTCGGTAATGAGGAAGCAAAAAAATTAGGAAAATTTTAACGAACATACCATAATAATCTAACTATATAATTAAAATAAATTAAGTACAAGTAAACATATTAATTTGTACATAAATATAAATGAATATGTTCACATATTAATATATAAGTTTTTAGACCTAAAAGTTCAAAGAAATTTCGTGAAGAATGTCAGCTACTGGTGCATTTACCCTATATAATTTCACTTTAATAATAAAAGTAAAACTCATATATTTTTCAGGTGAATATTTTGCAACTATGTTTATGAAAATCACATTGTCGAAAATTTTAAGAAGACTAAAACTTAGACCAGTTGAAAAAGATTTCCGGTTTGAAGATATCAAATTTAAGAGTTTTCTTCTTTTGGAAGTGGAGAACTCTCCTATGTTAGAAGTTGAAGAGAGAATATGATATATTTTAATTATTTATTTAATTATAGCTTAAAATAATGATTAATCTTAATAAAGTTCCTTAATATTATATTTCATTTTATAAACAATGGTCTGTTATACAACGTTCAGAACCTAGATACTGTGGGGCGCATGCCTTATTCTTAAATGGCTTAATTGGATAACTGATATCTATAAACCTAAAACCTAACATTGGCAAATGTGCGTCCATTCTGATGGAAATTATTTCGATTAAATATATATAGTTGGAGTGAAGACGTGAAAAATTTTTAATACATATTAAAAAAGCATTATCAACCCACTATATATATTTTATTATACACCTTTATTGGTAGTTGGTAAAAATTATTCAGTAAATTAATGTTGAACAGCTAAAAGACAAGCTGATATATTTTTTTTTCTTCTTCCCTCCCTTGTCTTCTAGGCTATACAGGATTTTCCCGGGCCGGAAGGTTGAGGGCGGGGAATTTGAAATCCCCCTCCTGTACTGGGATGCGAACTCGTACTTTTTTTAATCTCGTAACTTCAGTTATCTGGTTGCCAGGCAACTCGCGGTGCTGTACACATACGTTAGCTCATTCAGCCACTCCTCCTCCTGAGGCAAGCTGATATAATTCTGCTAATGTCCGGAGATGTTTAAACATTTAATATCTCAACTAAACAAAAAAAAAAATTAAATTTGAAAAATAGTTTCACTAGTAGAAAATGACTGCTCTTGAGTTTCCCCAAATAAGAAAATGGCTACTAGGGGATGAAGATAGAATTATTTTTAAGGTTAGCTTGTCAGTTTTTGTGACTTTAGTGACAAATGAAAATAGTGTTTTGTGTAAACAGTTTTTAGTTTTCTAATAGTTTTGATGTGATTGTCAGTATTGCATACCTTGAGATAAAATAATTATAAATTTCAGTTTAATATATAAATATTCTTATAATTTTGTTTTTTATTTAACAACCTCTTATTTATTTTGGAATTATCACAACAATATAAAGTGATCCTCCATGAGTAGTATTATTAGTAAAAATTAGGACATCTTGCAATATATATATAATTAATAGGGTTTATGAAAAAAAAAATTACCATTTTTCAACCAAATATTTGTATTATTATTTCTTTAATATAAAATAAAATTAATACTCAAAGTACAGTCCATTGTTATCTACCATCATAAGCCATCTGCTAGCCAATTACTCGATCCACGATGACACCATTCTTTGGGATGGCTGTCAAAGAACCCTTGGACTGCAATTTTCCCTTGAAAAAGGGCCATGGATCTAAAAAATAGCAATCCGATGGTGCGAGGTCTGGACTATATGATGGATGAAGCAGGAGTTCAAACTCATGACGATCTATCTTTAAACTTTTCTTTGGTTCGACAGGAAGTGTGAGGACGAGCATTATCTTGTTGGAATAAAATTACTTTTCGGTTGATCAAAGCAGGATAATGCTCTGTCAACTTCGTGTACAATCTTTCCAGTTGTTCGCAGTAGAGTTCATAATTCATACAGCATCCCTCAGGAATTTGTGATGAATAACACCTTCAAATTTCCAAAAAATGCAAATCATGGATTTTTTTTTTCAAAATGCCTTCTTGCAACATCCAGAAAAGCAGTTTGACCGTGATCTAGCCATTGTTCACAGTTATTCGGATTTCACCAGTAAACTCACTTTTTATTACATGTGACAATCTTTCGGTAAAATCTCATATCAGAAGGGTTTTTCAATAAATTTATTTTTTTAAACATCTTAGCTGATTGGTGAACAGTAAGTTCATGAGGGACCAGTCTAAAGAGATTATTAAAATATTTACAGTCCTTTTGAATCTTGAATTTGATAAAACGGTCATTATTTTTGAAACACCATAATATATATATTGTGATATTTGTTGTTTTTTACTCTGTTAAGCTTCATCAGTTTGTATTTGACGTAATCCTCTTTGTTGGTAAACTTGTTAATATCCTAGTTCACACGTTAAGATTTACTCTTGTGAAGACAGTGAAACTTCCAGTTTTACATTGTAATGTTAGTGTATGTTGAATAATTTACTTTTTGTGTTAGCATGATTGCTGAAATGAGTCAAATCTGTGAAGAAATGTATTTTTTTTTCCATTTACCGGCAGTTAATCCAGGAAGCCAGACAGATATGGTTCTACTGTTGATAGATCAATAAAGCATTAGTATATAACGAAATAACTAAGTAGTGTGCTGTAGACCATGTCAAAGTTAAAGCATCAACAAGGCGAGATTAATAATATGAATTCTAAATTATAAGTAATAACTCATTATAAAGAGGATGAAATACTGTCCAATTTTCAGTTCCTGAGATGTTTTAATCCATATCTTCCATAAAACTCGTTATTTGGTTTACATTAATATGTTTTCCATTTTGCCTCCCTAACACAACATCACATTAAGATACAATTTTGAAAAATCGAATTCACTCTCCACAAAAAAAGTGCAAAACGCATCTAAAGAAGCTTTAACTTAAAAAAAAAAACTTAACAAGAAAATAACTTTATTATAAAAAATATCAAAATTATGGTTGATGGTCAGTAAAAAAACAACGGAAATACATTTGGCTGTCTTTTATGTTTAGTTATTCTCATATATTGTTTTCATAGCCTTGAGAAAGCCTAAGATGTAAACCAAAACATTGATGAACAGAAAACAGACAACAATTCTGACCATCATCTTCATATCATCAACAGCCAACAATGTATCCATAATATCAACAATTTTGTGAGTTATAATATCGTAATCTTTTACAGTTCTTCATGGCTAATTATTGATACCATTAGAGAATTCCAGAAACCCTCTTCACCAATGTCGTCTACAATCATTATTTTAAAGTCTCCTGGTCCCTTAATATCTGTGTAGGTAATCTGTGGCAAATGACTGCTTACTGGTTCAAAATCGCTTCCTAATGATCTATAATATATAATAAAAGATTAGTAATACAAATGAATGGTAAATTTATTTCTTCCTTGATTAATTTTTTTACTGACCCATTGGCAGCAAATGAAGCCCAAATGTCAACCATGATTTTGGAAACCTGGACATCGGATTCAGATGAAAATCTTCCAGTTAGTAATGAACCAACTGTGTATATAACATCATCACAATGTATGACACCTGTATTGAGAAACAAATAAGTATATATTGTATGTATGTATATATTGTAATAAACACCGTTATTGGAATTTGGTAAAAATGGTTTATTAAATTAATGTTGAACAGTTAAAAGGCAAGTTAATCTAGTTTTGCTAATGTCAGGGGATGTTTACATTCAAAAAATAGTTTCACTAGTTCAGGAAAAAGAAAATGGTTGGTAGAGAGTGAACAAAGGGGTTCAGTTGTTTGGAACAACAAGAGAGAGGATGTCCCAGGAAGCTTGTAAATAACCTTTTTGGGGGCAGAAATTGTAGATAATCTATTGGGCGGCAATCGTAAATAGCCTTCCGTTTTTTCGGGGTCTTGGTTATTTACACTCGTTAATTTTAATTTAAAAAAAAAAACCTCGGCCCTGGATATAAACTTTTTGACGGTGTTTACTGTTGTTGGGAATTTGGGAACCTAATGCTTTTGTGATACTGAGTGACAAGATATAATAAGAATATATATATATAGGGAGCAGAGTAGTTCAAGGGTACTAAGCTTCCAACGCTAAACGTCCCAGGTTCAAATCCCGGCTCATGGCAGAAAAATTATTTATTCTGTTTTATTGGCCGTGGGGCAACTCTGGGGTAGGGAGACCTTCCTGGGGCACACCCAACCTTTATAAAGTGGTTACTTTTAATTAAATAATTAATTAAGAGGGAAAACCTGACGATTGAGCGTGATCCTACCCCGATCCCCTCCTTGCACAACCGTTGGCCTTGAAACAGTACTTTCCCTAAATAGTACTGAACCCAAGACCCTTCATGGGTTGTAGTGGTTAAAATCAGCCTTCTAGTTAAAATAAATTTTTTACATCTTTGTAGCAGAACAAAACATAAATTTAACATAAATATCCAAGTAATAACTATTCATTTTTTTTTCTCTTACTCTGCCATCTCTGAATAAAAATACTTAGTTTAAAAGTATTTATTAGCTTTCATAAACGTTTGTTTATAAAGTAGAATAGAGAGAGGATTAAGATTACTAAGGTTGGGAGACATAAATTCCGCACTACAATGACTCAGGCGCCATCCTCTGTTCCCACCAAGTCTTCCAGATTGTTATTTCAAGTTTTTAGCAAAATATGAACCTTTTTTTTTTTTTTATTATTATTTAAGAAGTACCATCTCAATCTTATATGTGTTCTTTTTCTCTTGAATTTATCGCAGCTCAAATTTATGTGATTTTTTCCTCATACAAATATCCAATTGTAACATACTTTTTCTATTAAGACTCTACAATTTAATTTCAGAAAATTTGTGATTAAGAACATTTTTTATTTGTTTATTGATAAATATTACAATCTGTCTCCGTAAAGGATATTTTTAATAGAGTTCTGAAAGCACATTCACACCATATTTACAAATTAAAAAGATATATAAATAAATAAGGTAATTTTAAAATAATATAAAGCTAAATAAGAACAAAATAAAATATCATACTGAAGGAAGAAAATATAAATAATAGTAATAATAGAATACAAATAAATAAATAATATTTTTTATTTACCAAAATCCTCATCAGAGAATATCTTAGAATGGGAGAGTTCGCCCCTGTAAGAGAACTGATACACATAAACTGGAGAACTGTAGAGGGATGCATGGATCTTAGCTGCCTTTCCGATTCCCAACAAGAATGCCGAATCTCCACACATCTGTAAAAAGGATTATTATTATATTTTCAATTGGAAAATTGGTGAATAAAACTCAGTAGAAGAATGATAATGAAGAATAAAAAGTGTTTATTTTTCAGTACCTCTCTCAGTATTTATTTAAACTTATAATATATAGATATTAATAAAAATCAGTAAAAAATCACCAAGACAGAAATTCAATGTTAGGTTATAATTGGAAAAATTCTAACCACACAACCTCAAGTCTACAAAATGCAGTTAAAGAAAAAAAAACCATCAATGTTTCACAAATTCAGTCATCAGGACAGAAAAAAAAAAATTACATCACTCTAAGACTTCTAATCCCATACTGGTAGCCAGTTCTTAAATACGGCTGCGAGATGTGGGTATTAACCAGAATCATAGAAAGAAATATAAAAATGTGTTTTTTGGACTCAGAGGGCTCTGAAACATATAGATCTGTCGAAAACCGCATATTGGAAATTTGACCCGATCGCAATACTTTCCTTACCTAGTATAAGTAGGAAAGTAAAGAGATTAGGGAAGAAACTCCTTCACAAGATAACCCGAGTGATCTGAGGTTAAAGTATTGACACATGAAGAAAAATACCAATAAAGTGCTTATTTCAAAGAACTGCTTACTTAATCTGATCAATCAATATCTCATGATATAAAGGCAAGGAGGTTAAGATGGGCTGGGCATGTAGCCCAGAGCAATCCACCAAGGAGCTTCTAAACAATAATGAATGCCTTAATAGTAGGCAAGAAACCATGTGGAAGGCCTAAACCCAGATGAATAGATGTAATCAACAAAGATACAATACAACTCCATGCAGATAACTGGAAATATATTATCAAAGATAGACAGTGACAGAGAATGTTGCTTAAGGCAACAAGAGCTCTGTAAGATCTACAAAGCCAACAGAAAAAACAAAAATCATAAGTTTTGATTATTGAAAGATATTTTATTTTAATTATTCAATGACTAAAACGGTATATTTTGAAAATGCAAAACAATTATTTTACAATTAGAATAAAAATCAGTTTTAAAATACAATTAAAAATCATCCAAGGTTTTGTGTCAAAATTCAATAATGTTTTTTTTAATTTCTCGATTGTTCTTCCT